TCTCTCTGAAATTGTAAATATTTTAACATAGGCACTATTCTTATAAATAAACTGCATAGTTGCAATCTAAACGACTAGATTCTAGATGCATTTAAGAAAAAAATTACAGTGTAAAAGATGTATATGTATATGTACATTTTAGTTCAAATATTGATACAGTCCCAAATTATTAATTTAATTTAATGCAATATATAATGATAATAAATTTATATTTTTGAAATTGTTGAATGAAATTAGCCAATTCCATGCATATTCAATGAAAGTCATGAGAGATTTTCTTTAATGCTAAAGTATTGAACATGCATGGAATTGGCTAATTTCACCCTTAAATTCCAACAATTTATTATTAGTAGTAGTCATTTTAGTAGTTGTATTATTATTATTATTATTATTTTCTTTTTTCTTTTTCTTTTTATTATTAAATGCAGTATCATTCATTAATTTTCTTTTCCGCTTTGTCTTTTTATTAATCTGGAATTGCCACAGCGGAATGAACCACCAACTTATCCGGTACCCAATGTATTACGCAGCGGATGCCCTTCCAGCTGCAGCCCATCACCTGGAATCCAACACACTCATTCACAGACATACACTACAGGCAATTTATCTTACCCAATTCACCTATAGCGCATGTCTTTAGACTTGTGGAGGAAACTGGAGCATCCAGAGAAAACCTACACGAACACGAGGAGAACATGCAAACTCCCCACAGAAATGCCAACTGAGCCAGCCAAGGCTCGAACCAACGACCTTCTTGCTGTGAGGCGATTGGGCTGTGCACTGCGCAACCGTGTGTTTATGTATTTATCTATCTTAAATGCACAAAGGGATGGTGAATGACTCACAAAATGTGTGTGTGCATGTGTGAAAAAAAAGCCAGATGAAATAGAGGGCTATTATTTGAAAAGTGGACCAAGTGAAAATAAGATCAAATTTCAGAAAAGTGGAGACTGTGATCTTGTATTGTCCACAAACAGGAACACACACATACACACACACACACAGGCACAGAGTGAGAGTCTCTGGATACTCTATAAATAGCACAGCCGAATCCACCACTGAACTTGCTGAGTGGTTAAAGGAATGTACAACAACGCGGTTCGTATTTTGGACAATTTGTTGTACGTTTCTGTATCAATCCTTGAATCATATTAAAGCTGCAGTGGACTGAATTCTTTCCATTTGGATGCTGATCATAAAAAATCATAAAAAGAGTTCTGATCATATCAGTCTGATCCTAGAAAGAGTTTTCAGGAGTTTAAACTGACAAGCTTTTAAAATGCAGTCAGATGTTTTGTTTGTTGTTGCTACAGTAACAGAGTTGCTAGTGTAGCGACCTTCTTGCTGTGAAGCGACAGCACTACCTACTGCGCCACCGCGTCACCCGGTCTCATTTATGTAATTTACTATCTATCTATCTATCTATCTATCTATCTATCTATCTATCTATCTATCTATCTATCTATCTATCTATCATCTATCTATCTATCTATCTATCTATCTATCTATCTATCTATCTATCTATCTATCTATCTATCTATCTATCTATCATCTATCTATCTATCTATCTATCTATCTATCTATCTATCTATCTATCTATCTATCTATCTATCTATCATCTATCTATCTATCTATCTATCTATCTATCTATCTATCTATCTATCTATCTATCTATTATCTATCTATCTATCTATCTATCTATCTATCTATCTATCTATCTATCTATCTATCTATCTATCTATCTATCTATCTATCTATCTATCTATCTATCTATTATCTATCTATCTATCTATCTATCTATCTATCTATCTATCTATCTATCTATCTATCTATCTATCTATCTATCTATCTATATATATTTTATCTATATATCTATATCTATATATATTATAATTCATAACTTAATAATTTATTAATTTAGTGCATTTATGAATTCGTACAATCTCATCTGTTTAATTTCCCTCAATGACAGTTGGATTTAGGGGTGGGGTTTGGTCCCACGCCTTCGTACGTTTTCATATAACTGAACTTGTATGGATTTGTATGAATTAGCCACTAACCTAACAAAATTAAAATAGTTACATTTCATCATGAGATCAGGCTGTCTAGTTTATCAAATTTGCAATGCCATCATATGGCAATTCGTAACTCTTTGAGTTAAAATTTGTATGACTTCGTACCATCTCATTCGTACAATTCAGTATGAATTGCTTATCCCTCAATGACAGTTGGTATTAGGGGCGGGGTTTGGCGCATGCCTCCATTTTAAAATCGTACATTTTCATACAGCTGATCCTTGTATAGATTTGTATGAATTAGCCACTAACCTAACAAAATGTAAAATAGTTAAATTTCATCGTGAGATTAGGCTGTCTTATTTATAAAATTTCCAACTCTATCATATGGCAAAATATTTTAGCAAATACTGTAAAATTTCCCTGCTCTTGTAAACATAATTTGAAAAATATTGAAAGAAATTTTAAATTAAAGAAGGGTTAATAATTTTGAGTCATACAGAAAAAAAACAGTTTTTTTTGTGTTTTGTTTTTTGTTTTCTAATTAAACCAAATCTAATTCTTGATTTAAACAGCTTGTGTTTAGATTTGGCCTGTGGCATCGTTCTCATGTCAAAAACCAAAGACACTTTATTTTCTCTGGTCGAAAAGCTCTTTTGGGACTTAAAAAAACACAAGGGCGAAGCACAGTTTGCATGCGAAAAAGTTTATTTCAGCAAGTCTTACGTCAGTCAGGAGGGACCATGAATATTTAATGATGCAAAGCAAAACATTTGGGCTCGGCTTATGAAAAAAGCTTGACATTTGGCTTCCCGCGTGCACGATAGATAGCAACTCTTAAATCATCATCGCCAAAACAGACGTCCCTGTACCTGCCGCGTTTAAAAGCGAGTCCTCGGAGAGCGAGAGCCGGTGTTTTTTTTTTTTTTTTCTGACATCTACAGCTGTCCTGTCAGAGAGAGATTATTTGGGGTCCCCGTCCTGCAGTGAGTCCTGCGGGGCCGGCTGTCTGTCTGCATGTCATTGACAGGGGCCCGTGGGGACCGCATCTCCCAGCATGCCGCTCTCCGGGGATGAAGCCCGCGTGACAGCTCTGCCTGCGGCGCTCAGAAAGACACAGAGAAGCTCTTCGTGGTGATACATACAGACAGCTGAGAGATGCTACAGCCACTCTCCTCACAGTCGCTTACACTAAAACCTGGATTATTTACTCTTACCTCTTCATTTCACTCGTGCTGGTCGGGGATCAGCGCTGGCTGGTGTATTATGGGTTGCTGCTGTTGCGCTATGAGAGTTTATTGCTAGCTGGAATAGTCTAGTAAATAGTTTGTTTTTAAATTTCGAAGGTTTGTGCGAATGATAAAAAGCGACAAGATTCCACTGACAAGCAAAATTTTTAAAAAAGTCTTCATCAAACACAATGTGACATGACAGAAACACTTACAGTGGGGAAAAAAGTATTGAAAACATAGAGAAAGGAAGGTGTAAAAAGGCTAAGTTGGCGGTTCATTCCGCTGTGGCGACCCCGGATTATTAAAGGGACCAAGCCAGAAGAAAATGAATGAATGAATGAACTGTCTCTTTAAGTGAAGTTTATTTATAAACTAATTTCGAGAGGATCACATGCTTATGATTGCTTGCGGCTGGATCTGCATTATCCAATTTATGATTTACCAATCAGACAATTCCTAAGCCACTATAGATACCTTAAGTTCCATATAACAGCCATCTTCATTTTGAATAATCCCCCTTCCACCCCTACTCCTCCTTTGGTTCTAGTCCTTACCAAACAAGCCAACATTTCTGTGCAGATTTTACATGTTCTCCCCGTGCTCATGTGGGTTTCCCTCTGGTTTCCCAGTTTTCTCACACCATCCAAAAACATGCAACATACTGTAAGTTATTTAACTAATTCAAATCGGCACCATAGACATGCTCCTAGTAAGTAGTTATCTAGTTTAGTTTAGATTAGTTTGACTTTATTAATCCCCGGAGGGAAATTCACGTCACAGCAGAGCTCTCCATACTAAAAATAGATAAATAAGTTACATACATATAAAAACAATAATAAAATTACATTTCACACTGCACACCTTGGTTCCAAAAACAACGAGTAAGCACTTGTCCATATCTAATATCTAATTCAAGTTCAGCATAATTCATCTGGTATGACTTTGGTTATACAATCTGATCACTGTTGGTAAACTGCATCTTTCTCTGTAACACCGGGGTTGAATTAATCTTGTACTAAAAGAGCTTGCACACGCTTGGACTGTATCAAAAAGGGGATGGCTATAGTGGTTCATTATACTGACAAATTTGTCCAGCATTCGATCCTGTGCAATCTCTTCTATGGTTGGTAGTGCACACCCCACAACAGAACCTACCCTTTTTATAAGCTTATTTAATTTGTTTTTCTCCTTCTCCAACAGTCCCCCTCCCCAGCAGGTAACAGCATACAGAAGACACCACAGAGTCATAAAAAGTTTTTAACAGTGTCTGACACACACCAACGGACCTCAGTCGTCTTAATAAATGAATGCAGCACTGACCCTTCTTATACACCTGGATTGTGTTTTCAGACCAATCGAGCTTGTTGTTCAAATATACACCCAGTTACCTATATGAGGAAACGATCTCAATTTCTGACTAGTGTATAATTACGGGCACCGCTTGTGATGGATGTCTACTAAAATCAACAATAAGAGCTCTTAAGAGCAATCACTATCTGTTCATTAGCTACTACAGCAGGGGAGTTCTCGAGATCTACCTGAACTTAAACTCCCCTCTTGCCTTGCAAATGAAAGGGAGCCCCGGGCTCGAGGATCTTATGAGCTCAGGGATGCCAAACAAGCTTTATAATCAATCATCAGCTAATGTGAACTCTTGACATGTGATTCTGAAGGTGTTTAAACTGGCTTGTATTAAGGTTTAGTTCTAATGTGGAGACTTTGCTGTTACAGTGTTTTGTTTGCATGTGTGCAG